TTTGTGTACTCACAATGAATCACTGAATACCTAGATACGTGACCAAAATAGCCAAAAACTTCTGTTTTTTTCCCACGATACCAGAGAAAACTATAGCTACAAAACAAACGTTGAAATGTCTATTTATTTGATTTGTTTGGAAGTCTTTTTACTGGCGAAACAGCAGATTTCACAGCATGACGGGCAGTGTTTAACTTTTGGCAAAGTTCCAACGGGAGTCACAATTCAAACATATGCCGTAAGAGACAGATAATGTAATAAGTAAAAGAAAATCACCAAAAATGTATATGATGATAAACGGTTTTCTTGATCTTAAGAAGGGAAAAGGCACATTTAAGTGAGCACTAGTTAACTGAGCACTCATCTCACAAATTTTCTTCTAACAAAATCCAGCAGCAGATAAGTATTAAGCGCTATTCCAGAAGACTTTGAATAAATACACATCCGGCGCTGACAGCGCAGGTGACCGCATTCTGCAGGTCTGGGTTCTGACAGTGCAGGTCTGAAGCCAGACCTCTCTCAGTTGATCTGCTGAGCTACAGGTCACCTATAAACGGCAGAAGCAGATTGGACTTTAGATTATTTTTTCTAAAGCAAACAGCCTCAGAACCTTAAATGGCTATATAGAATTTGTTATTATCTTTGTGTATGTTTTGCTTAAAATCTGGACTGCATCATTCTAGGCTGACAAAAGGGAGACTTGTGTAATTTCAGCATGGATGGCATCATATTACACAAGATATGATAAATGCACAAATCAACCTTATAAAGTCTTGTCAGAACATGCCTGCTCTGCCTCGGAGGATAGAAACTTCTCTGAAAAAAACAAATTTAACCAGACGAGGCCCTGGAATTGAACCGTGTAACAGATGAGAATAAAGACATACAGATTTTTAAAGACGTCTACCTGCCAGACAAGAACGAAACATGTCCCACACATATTTATTAAACAACTGTTGAAGGCAACTGTTGTCTTAGCATTTTAATCCCCTCCCATAGGATGTAATGTGTTAGTTTTATTACAGATTCAGATGAAGCAAGTGTTTAAATCAAGATGTCTCGTCTTTAGAACCCATTTAGAAATTTCAGAGAGCTGAAACAGCCATCCGATGAGGATTAGGAGGCTTCCTTTAATGTCAGGAATGGAGTTCTGACATTTAAAAGACTTCCTGATGCTCACAGTCTGGAAACAGTTCGTAACTTTATATGGGAGATTATGTTCAGAGATGTTTTAAAGCCATACCGGCTGATAACCCAAAGCATAGTATATTAATAAGTAGTTGACCTTCTTTTCTCACAATTGGTAAAGGGTGCGGGAATATCCTCTGTCTGATAAAGCACATTTTAGACACATTTATGTCTTATCAGTGGAAGAATACCTTTTTTCAAATAGATCCTTTTTTTTTTGTGGAACCTTGTATATTATTGTTAAAAATCCAGATAGATAAATTACATCTTAATCGAACCATAAATAAAACACTTAAATATACAGTTTAAATGCTTTTCTACCTGTATTTTTCTTTTCTAAACAATGTGCATTTGTGTGTTACAGTTTGCTGATGAGAAAAGCTCTTTTTCAACATTTAACTGCAAGGGGAATACAGGTAATGTTGGTGCAACTGATATTCAGCAGTTACCTATTGGAAAAAGGAATATTTATGCTTAGAAAGGTGGTAAATATATTTTAATTAAAAAATATAGAAACAAATAAATCATTTGATTTTTGTTTCTCTTACTTTTGTCTCCTCCTAAAGCTTTTGTGAGTTACTCCTTTTAAAACGTTGCAGAGTATTTTAAGAGAAAGATTTACCAGGAAAATGTCCCAAGTGGCGCACATGTTATAAATATAGATGGCAGTAGGTGATGACTCCTTCTATTGTCTGTTTGGATTAACTGTACGACTCCTGCGTCTGGTTTCAGGTGTACATTTGGGTGCTGAATGACGAGGAGGATTTCCGAAGGGCGTTTGACTTGGGAGCCACAGGAGTAATGACAGATTTTCCCACCAGGCTCAAAGAGTTTATGGATAGGAATGGCATTTCTAAGCCCCAGTGACCTGCCAACTCATACCTCTCTCCATCTCCACGGCCATTATCCTTCAAGCTCGCTGACCTGCCAAACAAGCTCTCCACATTCGCCCACTTTTACTGCACGCATTCCTGCAGACCTGCTTTCACTTTGGGGTTCTACAAGTATGAGGCTCACCTTACATTAGAGATGTATACTTTTATATTCGTAAGCTAGAAAAAGAGATTTATTTGTATTAATCAAGCCTTTTTTCATCTTAATTTACACATTCTAAAATTTTGGTTAAAGATTCCAAATAATAGAGCAATGGATATGATTGTAATGTAGCGACGGCCATGTTTGAGATTTAATATTAAACATACAGTCATGAAAAATGATTAGACCACTCTTGTTTTCTTCATTTCTTATTCTAAAACTGTATTACCGGAAGAATACAATAAAAAAAAAAGGGTGGTCTTATCATTTTTTCCAAGACTTTATGTTAAATAATTAGCCATTGCACATAAATATCAAAGATTATTTATGCTGTAGTAAAAGCAGCAGTCCACAGGGCACTGAGTTAAACAGTTTACACAAAAAAAGGTCCAGAAATAGTTTTAGCACATATTACATTCAAAAGGATACTTTTTTTTTTTTTACTCAAAAAGTATATGATTTTTTTAAAAGTTAGGTTTCAAAAATATTATTTTGTGAGAAATATGTTTTATTTTCCATTGTTTAAATATTTATTTTGAATTTACTTGTCAGGATCACCTTAAAAAGTCAATGAGACTTTGTCTACTGGTGAATCTGAATAATTTAGATCATCTCCTAAAAGTTCATTTTATTAGTTCCTTGAACAGATTTCATTTAAATTTCATGATTATATTGTAAAGTTAATGAATATTTAGAAAAATTCTGTTTATCAGCAAAGGTGAATATTAAATAAATCAAGTTTATTTATAAAGGGCTTTCAAACAATCACAACAAAGAACCAAAAGCTGCACCTAACTGCAAACTATAAAGATGCATTTAAAGTAAAATATATGCATTTGAACGATGGAAGACTAAAATCAGTAAAACCAATGTAGTATAGTGTTTGCTGAGGTTAAAAATCAAAGCTTAAAAAAATCTAATGGAGTTTATTTTAACACAAACACTTTCTAAAATATTTGTCTATGTGCAGGAGATTTAAAGACTCAATATTTGGTCTAATCTCCTTTTGCATGAATGATTCATTAAAGCTGCTTTGTATGGAGGTGATCAGCATGTGGCGCTGCAGAGGCATTCAGTAAATGAATATTGGTGGATCAGTGTGTGAACACTTAGAGACAGAGAAAATAGTTGGAATGCAGTTAAAAATCAACGTATAAATACAACACCTTCCCCATTTTTAAAGGGATTAAATATTCAAATTTTCTCATAAATTGGCCTTTAAGCTTCAATTAGCTGTAAGCTATAATCAACATAATATATGTAATGAATCTCTGAAAATAAGGTCCCTTTTTAATTTGAACTACTCAAGTATGTCATTGGTGATTGTTTAATTCATTAAGGTGATCTGTTATTTTACTCTGAGCTATTAGGAATCTTTAAATCTGTTCAACAAGATGTGGAACTTTCTGGCATTAGTATTAAAACTAAAGGCTATTTATGAATTTAATAAACTCCCAGAGTTCAGTGTAAAACCGTTTTTTCTTCCTAAAATTATAGGTTTACATCATACAATGTCTAAACTACTTTTATTTCACCCGCTTTGTGGTATTTCCCACTTTTGAATTGTTTTCCTGTTTTGTTTTTTTTAGACAGAATGAAAACAGTGTTAGGTGTTGAAGGAAACCTAGGTGTTAAAATAAAAATGACCACTAACATATTATGGTGTGTTCATCATATCTGAATTTCAAATAGGAAAAAATATATTTTTATGATGAGAAAAGCCCCCCACCCCACCCCCCCCAGCGACATATCATCTGATGTTGCCATTCTGCTTTAAAAGCTCCTTTCTGTTACATAAATAGGAAACTTGAAAGAAGCAGAGCCCTTTTAGTTCACTGTACTGTAATAGCTACTATTTGCTGGTTTTATTGTGCTTTTATACATAGAAATGTCTATTTAGAGTTTTCTCCTTGAATCGACATATATATATATTTTTTCTCATGTATGATTTGAGCAAAGAGTTTTGCACAGTTTATAAATTGTTCTCTTCTGTCTGTGTGACACTAATCGTATTTAAAGCTGTTTTTAAAAATGATGAGATGAGTTCTGTATTCAGACAGTTTATTGGAAGCTGACATGTATTAAAATCTGCAAGACAATGATGGCAAGCAGGGAATGCTCCTGTTGTCATAAGGAGGATGCCACTGGGTAAACCTGCTCAAACCAATGATTCTTTTTGATCTGCAGGTATGACCATGTGTTAATGGTCTGTAATGAATGTAGTATTGAGTGAATGTACTATTAGATGCAGTTTTGCTTTGAATTGTTATGTTTTTTGTCATTTACTGGTATCATTCAATGAATTTTCGTACAGTATTTCCTTAGCTGTCTGTGCACAATCAGCTTTTTCCTGAAATTGATCTACCAGACCTTTTACAATGATATTGTTGTACTGTACCCAGCGTCATGTTATTCTGCATGTTTTCAACAACGTTGGTCTGTTTTGAAAAGAATCAGTTTGTGGAACCAGGCCGCTTGAGTTTTCCAAAAACTTATCCCACATTCTGACCAGCATTTCATTGATTATAGATAATAAAAAGTACATTTACATCCACAACAATACAGCCTGTATTTTTTCTAGTAAATCATTCATTACATGGAGTTTAAACTGAAAAAGTAAGATTGGTCTGCATGTAAATGGAAGGTGAGGCAAGTTTATTTATACTGTACATTTCAGTGAAAAGACAAAAGTGCTGTATATAATAGGAAAACAGGGATAAACAGGATAAAAAAAAATAAAAAGATTGGTATTTAAATGTAACGAAGTCAGACTACAAACTTAAGCTAATAGTTTATTGATAGCACAAAGGCTCCTTTAAATTGATAAGCTTTTAATCTCCATGTAAAGAAACAAATGGTTTCAGTACTTTTCCAGATTAGAGGCAATTTTTCCAGTTTATTCCAGCTACTGCTCCGTGTTTAGTTCTGGTTCTGAGTATGGAGACTATATCTTAGTAATCAATTTATATTGATTAACAATTTAGATTGTCTATAAACTGTAATCAATTTATAGACAGAAGCATCTTGATGTCTATTCTCTGGGAAGACATCTGGTTGACCGCCAGAAGGGGGCGCTGTCGACTCGTGAGGCTCAACAAGTTATAAACGCAGAACAAATCTTCAAAATGTTAAGGTCATAGGTTGAGGTAAGTTTCTTCATTAAACATCTATTAGATTACATATTTAAAATATATTTTTCAGAACCAGTAAAATATCTACCGAACTCGACAAAAGCTTAAATACGTTTCAGAGAAATTCTAAAAAAGATTATTTACTGTATGTTAATTCAGCCAATAGGAGCCGTGTTGCTATGCAACAGCCTTTGCTGATTGGATGATTTGTTTGCCATTCAATCACCGGAAAAAATAAGGAAAAGACAAAGAGTTTTAACCCAAGATAGTTAACGCCACATTTACAACACAACCTTCATAAATCCTAAATATATAAAACAGTGAAGTGTTTTTTTGGCTATTATTATGATCTGATTAAAAAAGGAAATAGCACTGGGGTCAGTTTAATATAGAAAATGACAGTTATGTGTTTGTAACTTTTGGTATTATTCTAAAACTGTTACAAATATAGTTTATAGAAAATTATCAAATTAAAATCATTTAATTTTTATTACACTAGTTACACAGATTAAACCAAACGATTGCTGGTGCTTAAATCCTCTGAAGAAATTATTTGAGCTGTTTTTGGTTTTGAAACAATGCACGGTTTCTCGCATCTATAAAAACAATGTATTGTAATGCATCAGTTGAAGAGCGAAAAGAAAATCTTCAATGTTTTTTTTCAAAATCAGTTTAGATTTAAAAATGTCTTTATTAGCAAAACACTTAAATGGTTACAATCAAAAGGTTATATACGTAAACCAAACATAATTTTAGTCTTCATACGAACCAAAATGTATTATTTATTTGTCGAATTCTTAATAGTTTATGATTCTAATCTAATCGTAAACTATGATCTGTTTTGCTGTTTTAGTTACATAATAAAGGATAACATGAGTAGCTAAAAGTTTAGATGAGAAACATTATCTTTTTTTTTTTAGCTTTTTAAACAAAAACAAATTACTTGACATTTTACCTTTTTCTCAAAAGTGAAAGAAAAAACTTTCTTTTTAAATTCAATAACCTAAATTTACAGAAGAGGATTAGAGCCACTGAAAAAATAAATAAATAAATAGATTTTTAAATATTATTTCAGTTTAATATGGGAAAAAAGTTAGAATTCTGACTTTAATCTCAGAATTCTAACTTTTTTTCTCTCAGAATTCTGACTTTAATCTCAGAATTTTGGATCTTAATGTAGATGGGCACCATGAAGGAAGAGATGTGGGAGCACTCAGGTTCACTGACAAAGATGTGAGTTGTTGGGGAGGGCCAGTAACACATAGGTGGAAAATGACGGAATTAGGCCTCTTTTTACGTGCCCGAGGGGTCCCCGGTGATGCAATTTCATTAATGGAAGAGCAGAAGGTGATTAAAACAAGAGAGCTAGTTTAGTCCCTCAAACAGACATGGCTACAGCTTGATGCTAACATGTTTGTTTGCTGTCAGAATTCAGTCAGAATTCTTAGATTAAAGTCAGAATTCTGAGATTAAAGTCTGAATTCTGAGGAAAAAAAGTCAGAATTCTGTAATTAAAGTCAGAATTCTGACTTTTTTCTCATATTATACTGTAATAAAATTTTAAAATTAGTTAACGTTTTAAAAAAATATATTCAGAGGCCCTAATACTCTTCCACACTAGCTACAAGAATAATATTCGAAAGGGAAAAAAAAAAAAAAAGTAGGAAAGCATAAATCGTTCGGAGTGAGGCATCTCGCTCCGGCTGTCCGCCTCACCACTCTCTGTCCGTCTCAGTAAACTCCGCTGGGCTCCGCTGCGCGTCAAAACATTGCGTCTCTGCAGGACCTGCCAGGGCCGGAGAGCGGAGGAAATTTGCCCGGGGAAGGAATGCGAAACAGCTTTTAGGATTGGCAGTACCGAAAGGAAAACGAGGAAGTGCGACGTTTTATTTAGGCTACGAGGAGAGACGTGTTTTTCCTCCCCTCAAAGGTATGTGCACATTTCTCACCGTGGTGGTGCATTGTTGTTACGCACTGTTTTTATATCTCTCTTTGATGCTTTTCCAGGAAGCGATCTGGTCATTTGCCGTTTTCTTAATTAAAGTCTTTTCTACTTTTAGTCAGTATTTGCTGTTTCGTTACATGTCAACTTTTACATGCTGCATATCAGCCTATCAGAGTTGATGGGCTTTCCTGGGGATGCTGATATATCTTCTACTGTTTTGGTGTTTTTGTGGTGAACACGCATGTTGGCAGCCCTGCAGCAGCGCCACCCTCCTGGCATAAAGTCAGGGGGATCGATGCGGGTGATCATATAATTAGGTCATGTGATTGCTGACGGCAGTCA